GTACAAGTAGAGTAACCTTCTGATTGTTCATATTTAACAAGATGTCATTGTGGACTTTCAGAAGAGCTGTTTCAGTGCTGTGACCTGTCCGATAAGCTGACTGGAGCACCGGATATAAGTCCGACCGCAATATATGATCTTGAGTTTGGTTGCAAACCACTTTTTCTGTCAATTTAGCCACAAATTGTAGGTTAGACACTGGTCGTAAATTTGGAAAAGAGACATTATAGCCAGGTTTCTTTAGCCGTGGGTCGACCAGAGCAGCTTTCCACTCAGTTGAAACATATCCAAGGGACAGAGAAGAATTGATCATAGATGTGATAACTGGAAGAATTTCCTCGAGGCAATTTGTTAACAGAGAAGTGGGCATAGGATCAAGCATGCACGTTTTCTTGGTTGAAGCTCTAATAAGTTGATGTACATCTTCCTGGGTGAGTTCCTTAAAGTTAGATAATCGATCATGTTCAGTACTAAACTCAGGATCATCAATCACCCTAACACGCTCGTCGTGACTAGCGTGAGCAACATCAAGCTCTTCGCAAATATTAATTACCTTACGATGAAAATAGCTTCCGATATGATTTGCAAGAGCGGTGTTATTATGATAGTCAGGAAAGAATAAATCACTTTTTAGCAAGAGCAGTGCTTTAGTTGCCTTAAAAAGTTTGCGCTGATCGCCATCCTGTTCGTTTATGAAGTTCACATAAAATTGCTTGCGCGCCTTATTACTGATGTATGTTACATGATTTTTTAATCGTTTAAACACCAATAGGTCTTCAGCAGACCCTGATCTCCTCCAGACTCGCTCAGCCCTACATCTCTTTCTCTTCGCTTCAGCTATCTCTTGATTGTACCAGGGCACTTGTGGCCTTGATCTTACAACTTTCGTTATGAGGGGTGCATGACTATTAGTTATGCTGCTGAGAACGGTATTGTAGCTACAGACAAGCTTATCAAGGCCTTCATGATTAGTTATTAAGTGCTCGCCGTGTTCCTGCGTGCACAAATCGGACACTGCTAAATCTTGTCTAAGGCATTGCAGATCCACATTCTTAGTTTTCCTGTAAGTGACTTTTTTAGCTTTGGTCACAAGCTTCTCTATCCGAATACTGCTATGAACAGCTGCATGATCAGAAAAGTAGTGGCAGCTACGTGGTGGTGACCCAATGAGTGACTCCATTTTGCGTGTGATAATAAGATCCAGGGTATGACCATGGATATGAGTCGGTTGCGTAACGTGCTGCTCAAGTCCGAGTGAATCCAACAAATCAAGGAACTTCATAGCATCAGCATCAATAGAGTCATCTACATGAACGTTAAAATCCCCAAGGACAAGTAAACACTCCTTCGATAGAATGACAGATTCCAGGATATCAGAAAACTCCTTCAGAAAAGTGCTCATAGAAGCCCTGTGGCCTACTGAAGGTGGTGACCTATAAACAATGATAGTCCTAAGTTTACAAGAGGTTGATAACTGTATAATAAGCTCAGAGTAATCAAGAGACTCTTCTTCACCAGTTCTGATTCTAGTCACTCTGAAAGAGTCACGGTGTAGAAGGCCAATGCCCCCACCTCCCCGTTTTAAACGCGGGTGATCAACTAGTTTATAACCCGCTGGGCATAGTTCGACACGCACTGCATCATCCTTTTTCTGTAACCAGGTCTCAGTAACAGCAACTAGATCAAATTTATTTTCACAAACATAGTCAACGAAGTCGGTCGTCTTGTTTCGTAACGATTGCGCATTCATTAAACAAAGCGATAAACAGCTATTATGTGCTATTCTATTCAGTGGAAGACGTTGTATCTCAATAAGATTTGAGGCGTTACGTCCCGGCCGCGCTTTACAAGTATAATGTCTTGAAAAAGTAGACTTCGCTCTTTGATACTCAGGACCAGGATTTAGTTTAAAAACTAAATCGCCTTCCAACAACAGTTGAAATGTTGCAGTGCTGTTAGCATAATAAACACAGGGACGTTTGCTTCGTCTATGTCTTTCTTTAGCGAGGAAAGCTAAAGCCCTTTTATTGAAGACGAGATAAGTGGAGTTATATACGTTCACATCACTTGAGATCAATGACAATTCAATGACTTTAGTAGAATAATTCGGATCAGTGGTTTTATTATGAGCAACTTTGCATATGCAAATCTGCACGTATTTGTCCCGTCGTCTTGAAAAGCAACCACTAACAGAAACTCTCATATTGCTCAACAACTTGCTTTGCCGAAAATAAATCCACTCATTAGCTTCAAAATCCCTTTCATCAAATCCCCCACTGGTCGTACTCCCGCATGAAGTTTGACAACTGCCAAAATCATCGATTATATACAGTCCTACAATGCTAGATCGTCCACATACAACCAAGCTAGAGAGGTTAGTAGTCAAAATAAAACTTGACTTCTCAAGAAAACACCAAAAATTTGACGCCGATGTTGTCCCACTATCTTTCCCAGCACAATCTTTAGGGATTGCGCTATTCCTGTTATCAGATAACAGTGAATAACTGCCACAAATAATGAAAATATAGCAGAGCCATTGCAGTGCAGCCATTTTATACGGCGGTTGACTGCACGACATTGACACAAGATGTGGCCATTAGCTAAGCTAAGACCACGTGTGACCATTAGCTAAGCTTTTTAAGTCTTTTTATGTTTGTCGCAAACGTTGAGTAACGTGCTAAGCTGATATCTTTCTTCGCGCTAAATTTCAACATGGCAGCAAAATTAAACCTTCATCAAGTTGTACTGCTTTTCATTTTATTAATGTGACGTCGTTGTCATTGCCGCAGGAGGGCTGCATGCAGAACGACATGGAGCAAAACATGGATTCAGAAACGTCAGGGATACGGTGTTTATGCAACCCTGCTTTGGGAACTACAAGGTGATGACCCAGAGGCGTTTAAGCAATACCATTGCTTCGATGTAAATTCATTTAATGACATATTGAGGATGGCTGGGCCATTTATTCACAAGAAGGAGACAGTAATGAGAGCAAGTATTTGTCCCGAAGAGAGACTCGCAGTTGCCTTACGTTTTCTAGCTACTGGTATGTTGTGACGTATAATGCATTAAAGGTTAACCAAAAATCAAGTTCCTGATTTCGTAAAACTAATAGGAAAATTAAACTCTAGGTGAATCATTTAGAAGCCTATCATTCCAGTACAGAATGGGTGAGAGGACAGTATCGGATATCATTAACGAGACATGTCAAGTGATTTTTGTAGCAATGAAGGAACAATTTCTTAAAGTAGGTATACATTTTATATGCTAGATACATATACATCTCATAAACACAACAG